CCCCAAAACCCCAAAACCCCAAAACCCCAAAACCCCTCAAATCTACTAGTGAAATGATATTCAGACAATTAAATTTTTCAAATTTAATATTAGATAAGATGGATTACGATTAACTAAGTAAGAATTCACGCCAGTTTTTTCATATCCTTTATTTTAGACTCATATGGAGGTGATGTTCAAGAAGAACCATCAGTTAATCCAGACGGATTCTTTAATGACTTAACTAGTCAAGTAAAATTTTAAGCAACATAAATTTTCATCTATAGAATGCATGTTCAGTTAGAGTAGCAGTAAGGGTTAGGCCTTTAGTCGGTAGAGAACTCTATGAAGGTGGGCAAAGAACTTGTGTTGACGCAGATGAAACCTAAGGCAAACTGCAGATAGGGGAAAAGAACTTTTAGTTCGACAGAGTCTTTTCGTCAGCTTGTCCTTAAAATGATTTGTTTGAAGTATGCGGAAGAAATTTAGTCTTAGGGTGCTTCGCTGGGTATAACGCTACTATTCTTGCCTACGGTTAAACAGGTAGTGGTAAAACTCACACAATGGGAACTGGTAGTACTTCTGGACTTTCCGAAGATCAAGTAGGTATAGTTCCTAGGGTTTTCAAGTTTATATTTGAAGAGCTAGATAGAAGAAAAAAGCTATCATCATTTTCAGAATTTACAATAAAAGTTTCGTTTTTGGAACTTTACAATGAAGAGTTACATGATCTCCTAGATCCTGTTATGCACGGAAACACAGCTTCTAAATCAACAAAAGAATTACTAATCAAAGAAAAAAATGGAAATATTTATGTCTAGGGCTTGAAAGAGGACCCTGTATCTAGTAAAGAGGAATGTACTATGTTGCTGAACAAAGGTATATCTCATAGAACAACTAGTGCTACCTTAATGAACGAGGGGTCTTCAAGATCGCATGCTATTTTTACAATAGCCATAGAATAAAGAATAGTAAAAGAATTTGAAATTCCAACTGACGTTGATGGAATAGTTAAAGAGGAAGCACCAGCTGCTGGATAATAAGAAGAGCTAATTTCAGCTAAATTTCATTTCGTTGATTTGGCAGGTTCCGAGAGAATCAAAAGAACTGGAGCAACAGGACAATTACTAAAAGAGGGCATCTCAATTAATAAGGGTTTATTATGTCTTGGTAATGTCATCGCTGCACTTACTGAGGATTCCAGAAAATAGACTCATATTCCTTATAGGGATTCTAAGCTCACCAGAATTCTTCAGGACTCTCTTGGAGGTAATTCTAGGACTACAATGATTGCTTGTGTATCTCCAGCAGAGACTAATTATGAAGAGACTTTAAATTCTATTAAGTATGCTAGTAGAGCTAGAAATATCAAGAATAAACCAGTTGTTAATAGAGATCCAAACTCAATGCTAATCGATTCTCTAAGATAATAAATTAGCAATCTTTAAGGAGAGGTCAAGGAGTACCAGGATATTTTAAGACAAAATAGCATAGGATTGCCTGATAACTTTACAGCAAATATTTAACGATGAGCAAGTGAGAGGCAAACTCCAACCAAGATTATTAATCATGCTGAATAAAGCTAAGTATCTGGTTCGATCAATCATCAGGAGATAAGAGAACTTAAAATAAACTTATCGAGAAAGGAAAAAGAACTGAAAGAACTTAAAGAATAACTTGCAGATGCTTTAAACAAAAGTAGCTTAAAAGATTAGTAGATTGCTTAGCTTACCTAAGAAAGAGATAATCTAAGAATTGATAATGAACTTCTCAATATGTGTGTTAAAGAAAATGGTTTAGAAGTTTCTGGAATGAATAATACATAGTAAAGTGTGAGCATCATTGATGAGTATAAGACTATGCTAGCTTAACTTTAGAGAGATTTAGATAGAAAGGATAAAGAATTGTAAGAGTAGAATAACAAAGTAGCGAAGCTGCTCTTGCAAACATAGAATGACTAAGAGATAATGAAAAAGCATTTAGAAGAAAATCAAAGACTAAAGAGACAAATTAAGAGAAATGACGATTCCGGCATGAATACTGGAAATTCACCCAATAGAAACGTCTCTCACCAAAATACTGGCAAATTTAAGATGAATGTATAGCATACTAAAACTGAAACAGAAAATGATTTAAAGAAGCAAGTATCATAAAAGAATGATTTATCTATTCCATCTGATCTTAATGACAAGTTTATTAACAACTTGGCAAATTGTGTGCAAAACATTTTCCAGACTGCCGATGATGATTCAAAGAAAAACTAAGAAGAAGAGCAATTAAATCTGGGATCTAATGAAGGTGCAGTTGTTAATTAGGATGCACTGAATGAAGAGAAATAAGCACAAGCATAGTAGATCTAAGAATAAGAAAAAATTCTTGATGCTATTAAGAGTCATGCTAAGTAGATGTAGGACGAATTGGTTGAATTAATGAAAAATGAATATGAAAAGAAGATTCAGGACATTGAAAAAGAGAAGTTGAGAGTTGATAATGAAAGATAGGATAACTTGAAAAAGGTGTCACAAAGTGATGCCAAATAAGCCTAGGTTATTGATTAACAATATAAGCAGAAGATGGAAGATCTGAATAAATAGTTGGCTTCATTCAAGGATAAGGAGAAGAAGCAGGATCAAGTCTCAAAATAAGTTAATGCTCAAATGTAAAAGATTAGAACACTTGAAGAGGATCTTAAAAAGATGAAGACAAAGGAAGAAGATTTGGAAAAGCAAAGGAAAAATGAATCTCAGAAGTATAATCTTCAAAAGTAAAATTTATCAAAAGAGTTAGTATAAGCAAAGAAGATTGCAAATGAAAAAGAAAAGGCAATGTAAAAGCTTAAGCTTGACTTAAAGAAAGTTGACTAACAAGCTCAAAAGAAGATAAGTGAGCTTAAGGGATTCCAGAAGAAGGTAATGGAGGAAAGATTGAAAAGAGAATAGGAAAGAAAAGAGGAATTAGAGAGCAAAGGAATAGATATTGATAGAATAAAGAACTGGATTACAGAAAATACTAATAAAATGCTGGAGCACAAGGAAATTACTGATTAACTAGAACAACAATTAAGTAAGAAAGAACAAATTGAAGAAGAGATGCTAATTGAAGGAGAGAAATTAACCAATCTTATGATTGAAAAAGACAGAATGGAATACGAAATACAATAACTTTAATTAGAAGATGAACCTGATGAAGGCCGTATTCTTGAATTAGAAGAAGAACATTATCAAAAATCTTATGAGATTGATCAACTTACTGAGAGACTTGATTCATAAGATGAGACCCTTAACTTTGTAAACAACAAAATAAATGGACTCACTGAAGAAGCATCTGCAATCGACGTTGATAACATTGAGCCAATAAAATTCAGTGGACTACAATCGGTTGAGGCAGCCAAAGTTACTCTTCAAACTTTCTTCAGTGTTCTACTTAATCTAAATATCTATAATAGAGATTTAGAAATGAAGTGCATTGAGTCTGATGAAGCTATTCTTGGCTTAAATGAAAAGATTGGCTTGTTGTAAGCAAGACTAACAGAGTTGGCACAAAATACAGGCCAAAAACTAGATCAAGGAATGGATAATGGTCAAAACAATAGAATTTAAAACCAAAATAAGGACAAGGCAATTAAAAATATTGTTGAGGTAAGACATAGTAAATTTTATTCTAATTAGACTCTTGATGGATTTGTTGATTACTAAGATGTTAAGAATCTTAATCTGACACCAAACGAATAGAATTCCCTTACTAAGCTTTCTCTTAGTAAAATTGTTAGCAATCTAAAGTCTAAGTTAAGAGAAGAGGAGAATAAAAATCAGAATGTAACTTATTTTTCATGATTTCATCACTCTTCCTTTAGTTGAGTCATAAATTGGAGTAAGCATTGAGTGATAAAGAGTAGCTTAAATTAAAGTTTGACAACCTTAAGAAGAAGACTAAGGATGAAAAGATTCTCAAGTAGCCACTTAACATGAGAGGAGATTAACAAGACAAGGCATAAGATAAAGATAAAGAGAGAGAAAAAGAAAAGGAAAAAGAAAAGGAAAAGGAAAGAGAAAACAAATTCTCAAGTCTTGCCTAAGCCAGGGAAAGAAGAAAGCAAGTTTTGAACCCCAATAATTAGTCGACATCAACTGTCCAAACAGCTGAAACAAATGACACTGGCTTAGATATCATAACTATACCTAAATCTAGCGGAGGAACATCCAACCTGCACTTAAAGTATAAGGCTAAGATTCAGCAGCAAAGACCATCCTCACAGATGGACATAGATGCTTCAATGATCAAGCAGCCGGCTGGAAGAAATCAGGGATTAAATGGGTAAGGATCAATGAATATGAGCAGAGGAGGTTAATCTAGAAAATTCGGAAACTCAGTAGTAGAACCCTCAGAGTCAGACAAGGACTAAATTGTGAATACTGAGAAAAAGCATCCAGCATTCTTAAAGAAATCGCCCAAGAAAATGGAGTCTGGACGTCTTCAAGGTTAGCAGTAGCCAGATCCTTATTTCATAAGAAAGTAACTTGTCCCAATTAATGAGTACAAGCCTCCATCTCAAAAGCAGTAGCCATAGTAATAACCTCCAGTAAAGATTCCTAACTTCAAGGATAGAAGAAACCAAAGAAAAATGGAAAACACTGATGATGGTGATAAAATTGAGCCAGATAAGGTTCTTGAGATTGATATCATCAAGGAGCAGACTTCCTAGATAACTTCTGGCCAAGCTCATAAAGAAAGAAGACAATCGAGAATGAGAGCATTTTCCAAGAGAGGATTCAGCAGCAACAAGACAAAAATGCAATCAAGCCTGCATCAGTAATATCAGATTGCAAACATTAATTAGCAAGCATTCAATGATCCTTATGGAAATTAATTAGGAAACTTAAGAGATGTAGATATCATGATAAAATCCCCAAGAATAGAGGGAGATAACTAAAGACCTACAATGGATTTGGAATATGGCTCAGAGTACTCAAATTAAATAGATTAAATAATGACGCCAAGTAGAGATATGAGAAATAAATGGAGTTATGAAGAATTAGCTCAGATAGAATTCTAGGGCCAAAGACTTATCGGTTGTGACTACGCAGATGAAAAAATCATAATGGTATTTGAAGACTTCTCAATCAGAGAAATAAGATTAGATACATCTGAAGAAATTTCAAATTTCAATGTATTCTTCCACAACTAAATAAATCATACTGGAGAGTTAGTAGTCGATTTTTCTCTTGATAGAGACCTAAACGCGATTGCTATTACTAGTGATAGAACTGTATATGTCTTTGATTATCAAGAAGGGTTCAAAATGATTACAAGAATTGAGGTTGAGAATATTCAACAAGTACTCTTCTGTTAGCTGAATGTAGTTGTCCTTGTAAAGATGGGAGAAGTATCTTATGTCGTATCTTATCAAATTGGAGATGATGAACCAATAGAACAAGCCTCTTTTGAGATTTAAACTGCTGGCTATCCAGCAATACTTAAGACAGATAATATGAATATCTTCTTTTCAACTGGCATTACAGTAGGTAGGCTTGAGATGCCAGAATTGACTCCTACATTTGCAATTGAAACTGAACATTCAGATGTTATTATTAACTTTAGCGTTTCTCAGTTTGCAATAGTCACTACATCAAGAGATTCTAGTTTAAGATGCTATTCAATTGAAACAGGTGAGTCGACTTAGGAGGCTATGAATGATATGGACTGCGATTATCTTGAAACAGACAGTGACTTTATTTTGACAAGATGTGGTATGGGTTAGGCCTTCCTTATTTGGAAATATTCTCCATTCAAGACAGAATTAGAGTTGATTGATGAAATTCCCATCGAATAATTAGACTATGAAGTATTAGATTTCAAGATGAGAGGAAAGATAGTAGCAAAATTCAACAAAATTAGATACAACTTAATACTATTAGTCACTAGTGTTTCAGAAGGATTCTTAATAAATACTCTCAAGCACAAGCCTTTATCAGAATATTGAATTGTTTTGAGAGATAAATTATTCCTAAAACTTTTAAACTTTAATCTAAGATATATTTGAATCTTCGGGGTTTTGGGGTTTTGGGGTTTTGGGGTTTTGGGG